CCGAATCTTTTTTTTATGCCCATCACCGTGTACCCCAAAGAAAGATAAAAGAAGTAAAAGAGCAACAATTCTCATACTCTATAATATGGAGTGAACGCAGTAAATTTCTTTTATTTTCAAAATAAAAGTTTTTGCCGCATATGGGCATATGGGCATTGTAGGCGTGTGCTTTAAAAAGTTTAGGTCAATTCCAAATTCTTTTGCATATTTGTAGGCGGTATCTTCATTTTCGCTAACGGACGACTGTTTACCACAAACACTAGAAAATTGTGCAAACAAACAGATGAACAGACGGACAGATGGACATGTGTTGGTGCACTCGAAATTTAAAACTACCCAAGAATTTATATACTATATGGAGTTTTTGAACTTTAACAGCTCGACAGCTTCCTTTTTGCGTCTAGGAAGGGACTGCTTACAACAGACATTGCTTAGACGGACAGACGGACATGCTTTAATCGATTTAGAATTTGAAGGTGATTAAGGTGATACATATACTTGTGTGATTCCTGATGCTTCGTTCTGGACGTTGCAAATGCTTTGACAAAATGACTATACCCCCTATCCTTGGATGATGGGTATAAAAACGAACTTTGGGAAAAGGAATATCTTAGTGAGAATGTTCTAAAAATGATTAGCAATAGGTTGTCCGCCTTATCTTTCGTTCAATCAAGACCCTGGATGCAAATCTGATATCGAACTAGTCTGTTGATGGTGTGTGTACTTGTATGTTTTTCCTCCATTTTCAATATTAAGACGTTTTGCGTGTAAACTCTTTTGATGGTTTACTATTGCAAATATTTCTTCGCATTCCAACGTTGTAATGGTCTCCCTTTTATTCTCATTGCATTAATTGCTTTTATTTTCAAGGCTTCGTTTTCTACATTTTCTCAATAATAAAAAATTTATCAAAAACATTTATTCTGACACAGACTTTAGTAAGGCTTTTCATAAAGTTATTGTTTTTTATACTTCAGTCCTCTGCTTTCATCTCACATATTTTGAAATGCGTATCCTCCTATCTTCAAAATAGATCCCTTAGAGCTCTGTTGAATGCTATCTCTTCTGACTAATCTTCGGTGCCCTTAGGTATACGTTAAGGCAGTCACTTAGGTCCCTTTCTTTTATTCTTTCCATAAATTATGTTCCCTGGGTGAATAAGTCCATTCAGACATTGATCAATCGATGAAAATGTTTCTTAAACGACTGGTACAATAACGAAAGGATCTATCTTAAGTCCTTTTGACAGTTGCATACATCTGCAGAAAATGCACCACCGTATATGTAGGGTATAAAAATATTTTAAAAATTTTACAATCTTGTGAAGAATATTTTTAATTTTCCAGCTGCGTATTGCCAATTACGCCCACTTCTTAATCTAAGCTGTGGAGAGATAAGCACTGTGTATATTTTGATAAAATATTATATATGTGTTTCAAATATATTTGCCAAGGAGCTCAATACTCAAAGTATTAATCATTACTCTCCTCGATTAGATTGCATATCGTCCCGGTAGAAACTTTGCGCTTTTGAGGCGAAATATTCATCCGACCATTTTCGCACAACTTTTGTGATCTGCTGATCTGCTAAATACGACTGCATTGATCTGAGCCAGTGGTAATTGGAAAGAGAGAGATCTGGAGAATAACCTGCAACCTGCAATAGGAAGTTCTCAGGCCACTTCCTGAATTGCTTTTAGCCAAGATGGCCGAACCTATGCGAACGTTCATAGCGATCGAGACTAAAATCCTTCGCACGATATCTTAAGAACCACTTTCTAACATGCTCGTAGCTTAATGCGTTCATAAGCCAACTGAATCACTTCTCTAGCTTGAGCTGCATTTTTTTTTTTTTTTTGTATTTTAAATAGCGATGAATGACATCCACGCCTTTGGGTTTTGATATATGCTACCATGTGAAACTTATACCTTACAAACACTTATGCATAAGCTGTGGGCTATGTGTACCCGAAAGTTCAGTAAAAATGGACGCATCATGTACGTTTGATATGGCAGCCAATTTCATCGAGAGAGAGAGAGAGCTTACTTGTACGCCTATTATGCGTATAAAAATTTCACTTGTTTTCTTGATTTTTGGAACTTCAACGGCACTAACAATAAACAATTGGATGAGCATATAGAGCAAATAAAATCGAACTGGCTCGGCTCTGTTCCATTGAGTCACATCTTTCTTGCTTGAAAAATTGCAAAATATTTTATTTACCGATTTCTACGAGTTATGTACCATTTTTGTTAAAACAGGAAAAAGAGAATCGAAAGCTGATAACTTTTCTAAGCTCATTTAATTATAGACTACATACGGTTGGTTATAAATACAAAAATTAAAAAGAAGGAAAAATATTCGATTATAGATTACGAGGTGAGTTTAATTCGATAATAATTTATACGTTATACGTGTACGATGATCTCTTTATACTTTAGTTGTGAAAAGCCTTAAGCAATTTTCAAAGGAAACATATGAAACCCAAATATATATATATATGTTATATAATATAATAAAATTGAGTGCATATATAAAGATAAACTTACATTAGCAATGGCATCAAATTCTCAACGCAATTTTACGCAATTCTATCTCTGTTTAAGGAAATTTGCTGCGAGTCCTAAGACTTGGAGTCTTTTGTTCAAGATACGTTTGATTTATATACATGTACGACATATGTTTGCGAATAATTTTGTGCAAGTATTTGTATGCCAAGCATTGCAAAGGCGTATATGTGTGCCTGTATGTGTGCTTGTGTGCGTGTGTACGTATTTGATTATCGATTAAAATCTTTTCTCGTTCAAATAGCCTCAAGTTTAAGATTAAAAAATTAAATTAATTTCATATATTATACATAAGCACATATCTAGATGCATGCATATTTATACATACACTTAATATATGTATATATATATTATATTTATGTATGTATATATGTATGTATGTAAATGTACGTATATACTTGAATCTGTAGTCATAACATGTAAATTGCAACAAAACATTTTTCTCCCCATCCTTAACTATTACCTTAACATGCATATGGATTAATATATAAACTGCGATATGTATAGATACGCACACATACACATATTTGCACTTTCTATCCAAATATCAATATTTGTTCAAAAAAAAAAAGAGAGAGATTTCATTTTATATACAAAAGATATTCAGAAGATTGCTTTAGTAAGCAAATATTCTACGTTTTTACAAAATGTTCATTTACTTGCCTTATCTATCTATATATATGTTTTATATTACTCTATATATATATATATATATATATAAATTACTTTACATATAAGCCTTCACTCTATGTATAAATCTTAACACACATATGTGTACGACAATGCTAAGAAATGTATGTGTGTTTATGTAGATGATTGCCAATTTACCAGCATTAGGGCTTTCCTGCACTTTCCTAAATGAACAACAAAATGTTGCAGCAAAAAAAAAAAAGCAAAACACGAGAAAAAGGATATGTAGAGAAATTAGTAACAATACAGAGAAATTAGAGTAAATTTTCCTTTAACAAAGCAACGCAACGCTATTGTATGGCATGACATTGCAGAGATTAAAGCCTTTTGTTCCTGCAGCACTACTACGCCAAGCACGACAAGCCCGAAAAGGCATGAATATTTGTTAAGTCCTGGCAAAAGGCCAATTTGTATTCTCACTTCATTATTGTGCTGCGTAAAGAATGAAATGGCGGCACTGCTTCAACTTGTGAACATGAAAAGGTGTGCGGCTTAATAAGCAGGCATACGTAGGAGAGTTCTGCATCATAATAACGCGAAACAAGCGATGAAGCTATATTAGGGGCTCGGAGCGACTTTAGAAAACGTTACGCTACTAGAATTTAATGTTTGTTGCCACGACGGCAGCTTGAACCGAACAACACGCATAATCCGCATAAGACTATGAATCGATAGGCGGTTCGTCCATCGTTTTATCACTTCTAAAAACCGCATATTCGATACTAACCTATTTATTTGCCAACATGTCCACCCATCCGCCTATTCATTCCTTCTTCAATCTCACTCGCTATTGAAAATTATATAAGCATAAAACTTGAAAAATGACATTCATTCGCTCTTCTGGTAATCCACTCATCCGTCCGTCCATCCATGTATCCGTATGTCCTTTAGTTTAGATATAAGTAGATATAGTTCGGGAAGTCACGAAGACTGTCGCCTGAAGTTTGTTTACTTCACTTCTACCTGACACATAATAACGAACATAGGAGGGAGGCGTACATTCCTCACGCTCTTATTGCTCAGTTCATACTACTTTTCGTTTTTTTTGCCTGTCCGTCCCTATAACTATTTATTTGTTCTTTCATTACTCATCAAAGGAGCTAATATGAGACTATATTCTAATGATGAGACCTTTGAAGCAAAGAGCGATTCACTCGATGTCTGTGTTGATTCAATGCTTATGCTACGTACGAGAAATGCTTCTTCTTCATGTTTACTGTCATTTAATCACCATATCACAACTCCTTTGCAGGCCCTATTGATAATCTAAAATAGCGGGCTTTTTAGGAGGCCTCGCATTGCCTTTCACAATGACCAAGTTATTATTATAACATTTTAGTCAAGCAGTCATTCGCTTACTTAATTTACTCTTTCTTCTTATCGCTAACGTGAATTGAATTGAAATTTCGTTGCTACTGCGATTCAGTTAATTGATTACACATTAAATCGCGAAATACAAAGTAGCATATAAGGAGCAGTTTGGCTGACGTTTCGATGGTCGATGCAAATGCTTGCTTTGATTTATCAACCATAGTGATCAATCATGCGTGCAATTTGCTCCAGAGACAATTTCATAATCGAATCTGGTCAGCAAAGACTGTGTGTCGTCTAGCGTTCACTGCTCATTGAACCAATGTGTTTTAGTTGCGGCTGCAATTGTTTGCGGTTATCTGGGCACTATTGTTAAATTGAATTGATATAAAAGTCAAGCTAGTTCCGTACATTTTGTTAGTTATTTGAAAAATGCGTCGATCGCTGAAAGTGTTCCTAGTTCTGGCATTGTTGGTGTCTTTTGTAGTCGCCAAGAAGAAGGATAAAGAAGAGTCGTCCGAATCGAAGGAGGAGGAAGGTAAAAAATATGAAAGTGAAGAAAGTGAAGAGAAAAAATACAAGGAAGAGAAAGGCCATAAAGAGCACGAAGATTGGGAAGAGGATGATAAAAAACATCATGAAGAAGAAGGTCACAAACATCATTACGATCATGGGGGCGGTAAAAAGAAAAAGGACTTTCATGAAGAGGAAAAACACGGCGAACATGAGGAGCATGGCAAACATAAGAAAGGTGGTAAACATCATCACAAAAAGGGTCATAAAAAGGGACACAAGGAATTAGAGCATCACAAGAAATTCCATAAAGATGAGTACACGAAAGAGAAGAAATTCTACGATGACGAGGACAAGGGCGGTCATCATAAGAAATATGGTAAAGAGCATAAGAAACATGAGCTCGATGAAGGCGGCCATAAGAAGGAGGAGGAACATGATTCGGGCAAAAAGAAGGGCCAGAAGAAGCATCAAGGGCATTATAAGAAAGGCCATCAAGATGAAGATCATAAAAAGTATAAGAAAGAGCATAAACATCATGAAGGCCATAAAGAGGAGAGAGAATGGGGTAAAGAAGAAAAGAAGAAAACCAATAAGAAAAGCGGGCATAAGAAAGAAAGCGGTAGCGGTGGCGGTGGTGGCCATAAAGGATAAAAATAAATTGTGATTGCATTAAAATAGAACAATACTTTAAATAAACAACACATATATGTGTATGTGTGATTTATCAACTCTCAAATATATTTCGTACGTACGTACGTACGTACGTACGTACGTTGTGTATATTCAAAACTATGAATGCGTATTAACTGTGACGACGTAAGGTTTCCTAATCAACAATGTGCGATTACGGTACACGTGTATGTACATAATTACATAGGGAAATAAAGTGTTTCGTTACCGTTTAGTAACATATTATGATTTAAACCTTTCTCGAACGGTATCTTTAAATATTTGCTTTGCCATTAAATTGCAGGTTGTTATGTGTAACCTTTCATAAATTCCATGCATTTATTTATTCCTTTTTCTATGGAGTTTTCTTGAACATTTGAATTATATCTTTTAAAATCTTGCTCGCTTACTTAACATATTCATTTTTGAAGGTAAAATCCACTTTATGCTGCTGTTCGGTCTGCATAGACATTTTAACTTCTAAGTAAGCTTGTCCGCTTGCAATTTCCATATTTAATCATAAATTATATATGGTTACAAGCGGGCACAGTGTCAACCAACCACAAGTGCATACACAGACACAGCATGTGTGAGACAAGACTCTCCCTAGAATTTACTAAATACACTACAGGCTGACGCACACGAACAAAGAAAGAACTAAGCCGCAAGCCAAAATATATAAGAGAGTAAAAAGGCATTAAAGAGAGAAGGCAACAGTGTGCATTAGATACCCCTTTGTTGTTTTCAGAGATTATAATATCAACGGTGCAAGTGTGCTTGTATATGGATGATGTGTATATTTATACACAAATCATTGTCTGATGTTTCATATAATAGAATAAGAATGCGGAGAGAGCAACACATTATGTAATAACACATTCAAACACATGAATGTGGCGAGAGTAGAGAGTGATACCTATAAAAAATGTGGTAAACTAGTAAATAATAATGTTCCGGTTGCCAGTAGATAATCCTGATGATATATAATATAAGGTATAATAATCATAGATATTAATTATGTCAAGCATTGAAGCGCTTAATACGTATAGTATTTAATCTATGTTAGCTAAAAACATATAGAATCCTTATAGAATTATTTAGCTATCTCATTCTGTCTTCTGGAATATGTAAGTTGGCCAAATTTCATATCTATTTGCATATTTTCAATGCATCTATAGATATGTAAATTAATTAATTAAATTGGGTTGAATTTATTACGCTGCACCTGAGCTCGTTAGAGCTCCTTTCGACTTTAACATGTATAAATAACCGTTAATTAATTAAAGCTTATTTTGATATAACAGTTTTTACATTTGGCTAAAAATGATCAAAACATCGAAATCTGTTGATTAATATATACACATATAGAAGCTATGTGATATAATGATACTAAGTTTTGGGTTTTGTTGAAACTAATTGAATTGCATTCAGTTGAATTTTCGCTAAAACGGCTAAAAGCCGTTATTTGATTTTTCCCTTTACATCCGTTATTAAAAAAAATTCCCTTTTCTTGAGAATGGAAAGAACACAGAGTTGCTTTCAATAAATGCAAACATCTCTGACAACGATAAACAATTTTTGTTAACAGAGTTGGTCCCTTGTTTTCTGTTAAGTTGGCTGAAGGGCGTTACCATTTAAGTTGTTAGTTGGGCATTTAACCATTTAACAGAGCTGCCATTTTTTGACAATTTTTTTATTTATTATAAGCATAATACACGCACAATTCGGCGATATAATTTTTATTTCAAAAGGAAATTGAGTAAATAACTTAAAATTCTTAAAAGACATACATTCATTCCAATATTAAAATAGTTCTTGTAACATAAGAAGTTTGGACACAAACCAAGCAGAATTATAAAAATGAAATGAAACAAATTCGAAACTTATGATGGCTACATTATTATATACGACAATTGAATTTTTAGGTACAGCAATGCCCTAGCCGGTGCAAATCACACTCCGCTTTATTGGGTTGAGATAGCTCAGTTTCACTTCTAGTTTATGTGTTTCATTTTTATTAACTGTTGACGTTGATAAAAATAGACTAGGAATTTTTCTTTTTTTTTAAGAAAAAAAATCATCATTTTCACCTGAATGTGCATCTCAACGCATGATTTATATGAATGTGTTCTTAACAGCACAGAAACAGGGTGTTGTGTTTGCGGCAGGGTGATCAATAGCCTTCTTTAGTCTTCATTGAATAAGCCTTCAAAGCATTTCTCCATACAATAATAAATAGAAAACTATATCTCGTTATAGAAGAGTCTTTGTAACTCAAACGTAACATTTTCCAGCTTAGAGAGCTTTCTAGACATCAATGGCACATAAACATCCGTCAGTAAGCTTTATAATGTGATCGCCATCCCTTAAAGTAACTCCTTTAACGCTTTCATCTTCAAAAATTGTGGGAAACTATTTACTTTCATTTGTTTCTTGCTCTAAAAAGCGGAAAATCGCTCAACACCATTATCGTTATTCGTTCATTTAAGGCTATAAAAGGTTTATTAGTGAAGTTTATTATTGAAAAATAATAAAAAAAAAACTTGTTTAAACATATGTTTAAGAATCAGGTGTTTCATTTGTATAATTACAGATGTGTTTTATGTCTTCTTCTTCTTTAGCTTTTTCTGTTCTGTTGATGCGAACGTCGCAGAAGTCCTTTTATTATTGTAAAATTGGCCCTTTTCTGTCTCGTCAGCGATTGGAGTCACTGGAGCTGAATTTATCTAATTTCCACTTATAAAAGAGGGTTTAGTTTCAACTAAAATGTAAGTGACTTTTCCTCAAGAAAAATAAAAAATCAATTATAATAACTTTCGTATGCCAAAACAGGGCCGATTATTGGAAATCAAATGATCGTAAATACTGTGATTTTTGCAAATGCTGGATTACTGACAATAAAGCGGTAAATATTTATTATATAAGTGATGTAATACAATCAAATATCTCTAATAATGTCTTAATACTCTTAGAGTATTTCATTTCATGAAAATGGAAAACGTCACCGGATGAATGTGACTAAACGCATATCTGACATAAGTCGGAATAGTGAAAAGGCCGAACAAGAACGCCGTAAAATGGATATAGAGATACGTAGAATGGAAGAAGCTGCTATGCGTTCGTATGCCAAAGATATCCACACTCGTGGTGATTTGACAGCTCATTGCATTAGTACAGTATTGGAGAGTCCATCACCGAACGTTGCCAACACTGGGATACTTAATGGTAAACCGAAACAAATTGATCCATTACGTTTGCCTGGAGATGATTTTAATACAAATAACGCGTATCAAGAAGCTTTAAAAAAAATCGATCCATCAACAATTCCGGAGGCTTCTTTGTGGGTTGAGGGTAAAAATGACGACAATTGTTCCTATTATTGGAATGTGAAAACGAATGAAAGCGTTTGGCAAGCACCTAAAGAGGGCTTTCTTTCGTGGAAGGAATTTCAGCAGATTAATGATCTGGCTTTACAACAACAAGAAATGCAACAGGCTGAAGAAGCGAAACGATTTCGGGAAAATGTTAATGAGGAAGTGGCACGATATAATCGAGAACGTCTTAAATTATATAGGCCCATAGAAACGGCTCAACAAAAAAAGGCGGAAGAAGAGCGTAAACAAAGTTATAAAACGGAAGAAGAATCCAAAGCGCCCGAAATCGGAAAATGGCAGGCTGTGGTAGAGAAGTAAGTAGTAAAAGCGTGCACAACTGCATCCAAACAAATTGTGTGTTAATCGATTTAATATTACAGGCCATTTCCCGTTCCTATTGACCTCGAATTACCTAAGCTCGATAATTACTACGTCCCGCCAGTGATTACCGACCAGCCATCAGAACCGCCCATCAAACGTTTCAAAGAGAAAACTGTACAATCTTTAGATGACGAAATAATAAGCGGAACCTCGTCGTCATTTAAGAAAAGAAAATTCGCTCCTAAAGCTTTACGTAAACCTTTAGATGATAATTAGAGGTAAGGGGTTTAAGCGATTGAGTTAGTATTTCAACGTATGCAATAGATCAATAAAGTCTGCATGCAGTGCGAAGGATTAGAGTTTCTCTTACTAAAAACCATATTCCATATTCCATCCATATTCATTTGCTAATTACCGGTACTTAGTCTCTATACTTGTTTCGTACATTTAAGTAAGGTTCTTCATTTCTTTTTCTTTAAAATCTCACAAAATAGCCAAAGTGGATCATCTTTATCTCTTGAAAGCCAAAAGGGGGCTTTCGAATAAACGAATCTTCCAGCAAGGTAACGATCCGAAGTTTTAATTGTAAAGTAGCCAGTCTCCAAAACAGCTATATTCTTACCAATGAAACTTTAAAATCTTTAACGCCGCTTTCTTTTGCTTACTGGCATGAAAAAGTGAACGGAATAAAATATTCATGGTTCACCTTTTACTTCACTAAAAGTTATTGCCAAGGAAAATTACTCTACCACCATCCTGACGTCCATTATAACTAATTTAGGGTTAATACACCTAACTTTTCGCGCTCTACTCTCCAAGAACGTTTATTTGACATCCATAATTAACGTACTACTTACAGTATCTTTAACTATCTAGGAAATAACCTGCATGTACACTTTTTTATGGTTTTTTTTTCGGGATTGAAGCATATTCTTTGTTTATAAGTTTATCTTAAGGCAAAAATATTTTGGATTGTTATTTAATATAAGTTTTTGATTTTTTAAGAAATATATTTTTTGACCGTCATCCCCTAAATGCCGTTTTTAATACGAGGAGCCTTAATTTTTCGAACAGTACGTAGACTTTACGCGGGTACTGTATACATACGTATATCTATTAAGAGCTATGATTTAAGAAGAACATTGATTACAAGTTATATTTGCTGACATGCAAGCCACTTTCAACGTTTTCCATCAGCTATTTACGTAAATAAGGCCAAGTCCTTCGAAAATTATTGGGCTTAAAATAAATCGGATATGGTGCTGGAATTTAAAAATAGCGCTTGATTTTGTAAACACTTCAATTCTATTGCGAAAAAGAGATGCCTGTATAAGAGCTTAATTTTATTGTCAAATGTGTCTACCATTCGTATCGTAAATAGATGAGGAACTTAAGTATTCAAAGAAATACTTTTTAGGCTTTTGCATGTATTTAGTGTATCTGACAAAAACAATGCAAACGATTTCACGAACGAAAATTTCATCTTTCGTTTCTCGTTCACAACAAGCCGTTGACACATTTGAGCATGTTTGCTGTCGTCAAACATCGTAAGTGTTAATCTCAGGAAGAGCATGTACAGAAACCTGATAACAAGTACACAAAGTAAAATATAACTTTGTTATCAAATATTAAATGAAATGCAGTTCATTGAGCCGTCAAGCAAGATGTAGTGAACCTGAAGCCTAGCAATATTATGACGTTATTCTGCCATGAAAGCAAGAAAACGTTCCGAAGCAAGCAAGGTTGAGCCTTGGAATTATTAATAGTCTCTTTCGGAGCGTAATATCTCCATTACTCGGTTTTTTTGTATGCCTTCAAACTCGGTTCTAAATGCTCTAAATAATTTTCATATACGGCAAAGTTCCACTTCCACTCTAGCTAAAGCTTGCTTGTAAAGATTAGCCAAGTGCCATAACTAATTTGTCGAGTCAATTTACGCATTCTCCTTGTCCCACATTAGCGTAGTCTTGTTCCCTATAGGTTCAGGCATCTACAACAACTTCGTATTTAAAGCTGCTAACTTCACTAGCCCCACTGCCATTAATGCACTTATTCTTTGTTCTGCCTTTTACTTTTCAGTCCGCTATTAGTTCGTTCCCGCTATTAGCACGTTCCCGCCATTGGAGAATTGCGCAAATTGTGGATTTTTCGTGGAAACTATTTTCAAAAAAGATACGCAATGAAAAAGGCCTATACAGCAAGTTGTATTTTATAAATCGAGCGGAATATTTAATAAAAGAAGCGAGAGAATTTCTAATAGAAACTCGTTTAAAACTCTCATTAACTGCACATGTTTTGCCTTTTCCAAAACTTAACAATTGCTTAATTGCTGAACATTCAATAAAAAAGAGACACTAAATGCATTTATGAACTAAAAAGTACTTTGAAAGCCAATCGTCGCCATGTCAGCAGGAAAGGGAAATTTATGTTTAAAAGAAAATTTTTTAAAAGAAGTGTTGTTAAGTCTTCATTGTAAATTTAATTCACTGATTTTTCGTGCGGCTGTTCTGCTTTATTCAATTTGTTTTATTTTGTTTCAAATCAAAACAACGTAACAACAAAGTTCCTTCTTTTCTTTTGAGCGAAAAATGTGTGCACGGTTCACCGTCCTTCGCTGCACGACTTTGTTTTTTAACCTCATCCCTCTTCAAAAAAAAAGCTTTCTCGCCTTGCTTATCTGCGCATACATATATGTAGTTTTAGGTGCCTGCAAATTTGCGAAATTGCATGCCCTATGATGCAAAAAGCTTCAGAAGGTCGCCAACCTTTACTAACCGGCTTTCTGGCAACTTTTGTAGCAAAAACAAATGGTGTTATGAGCATAAGTATTACCATAAATTTTCATATTTTCATATTTATCAAATATAAAGTAAATCTAAGGTTACTATCTTTGATACATATTCGTATTCAACACTCCGTCGTTGTTAGATATCTTTTCGATATTATACTTCTCATACCATTGAAGAAAAATCAAAAGGTTTTCAGAAAGTTTGGGCCATAAATATGTTATCTTATACACACACACACATACATTGGAAAAACAAAAGTCAGAAGAACTTAATCTTCCAACAACCAAGATAGCGACCAAACATTTTCCTCATTTTAGTCTAAAGTTTAAGGACCGTAAAGTAAACATACAAAAGAAATGGAATCACAAAAAACTGAAATTACTGCTCGTTTACTTTTTTCTTCTTCTTGTGAATGTTTTACTTTGACAGAGTTTCGAGGGTTTTTAATACAAAATGCCTGGAATTACAGAATTCTGCCATGTCCGAACCCTGGTTCGGAACCGATGTACGTATTTCATATGACATAAACACTTTGGGACCTTAAATAAATAATCTTGCCGTAAAGAAAAAAAAGAAATGGCTAACATGACATTCGTAGGGGTTTGTGTCCTTATTTCTCTATAAGTAGTTTCTCTTAATTTTCCGTAACCAATAGTTTTCTCTGAACAAGTCTAATTTTATGAATTTTAAAGCGATTTACAAGTAATATTTCAATATTATGTCCAAAGTTAACTAGGGCACACTGTTTCACAACAAATTAACATTTTTTTTGCAGCCCCCGTTTGGCACCACTGGAAGGATTGCATGGCATTGTATTGTAAAATTTTGTTTTACTCGCTTCTGAAACAGAGAGAAAGAAACATTGGGAGAGAGAGAGAGAGAATCACCACTTTTTAACCATTGCTTATATGAATATAAATCTAAATCTAAACATTCCCATCAGCCAATTGCTTTTTCTCTTCAGTTTCTTTCACTCACAGTGCTCGCAGAAAAGTCAAACAGTCTTATAAGCACGTACAGCAAAGACAGCAGCAAAGCAAATGCAAAGAATTTTAAATAACAAAACAAAACACACACACACATGCGCATGTTACGTTTATTGTAATTGCAGACAATTTCAGTCGAAAAGTGAAATTTTTTTTTTAGTGTTTTTTGAATTTTGGACGGGAGCGCGCGTTCGGAATAAGCAAAATTCAATCTATTTAATTTACTAACTCACTAAATCAAAAAAAGTTAGTTCGAATTTTGTGTTAAGGATTTATAAATTTCTTATCATAAGAACTATTAACACACAATGAATAAGTTGTTATAAATTTTATGTGACATTTTAATATTTTGTATGTTTACATAAATCTATAAGTAAATAAACAACTTTTGTAAAGATACATACATACATGTATGTTTATGCGATAAATGAAAGAAAAATAGTTAAATAGAATGTGCAGCAGGCAATAAAAAGAATTCTTGTAAAAATTGTACTCAAGAAGAAATTCGAAAAAAAGAAGTTTTATTTTTAACATTTAAAGAAGTTTTATTTACAATTTATTTTTTATTACAATGTGTAGCGTCAGTGAATAACGAAGTAGTGAGCTAAAGGGATGTGAATATATATTTTTGGCCGGTTTTTTACTATACTATTTTTTTCTTGATAAATTCTGTGATTTTATTTAAAATAAAATCAAAAATAGATAAAAATAAATCGTAAAATCGGTAATAACTTTTGTTTCTTTTAAAAGCGAAATTTTATTTTCTTTTTTACCGCGGAAACCGCAAAAAACTTGTAAAATTCATTCATATTTTTATAAAGGGAACATGGTTTTTTCTTGTATAAAACAAAAAAAAAAAACACATACATGAAAATGCATATGTGAAGACAGCAACTTGCACAAGCTTGCTCTGATTTAAAAAGTTAGTCACATTGTGTCTATGCTGATAACTTTACTATTGTTGTTTGCCGTTGGTTGCCATTGCCGAAATCGTTATTATAAAGACATACTTGTACACTTGCATATGTTACCGTTACGTTTGGTTGCCGCATAATTTCCTTTTTCTCTTGGCCTTCTTCGATTCTTTACAAGCGCGTTGTTGTGTGCCATCGTAAAAAATTTAAATTCTGCTTTTTGTTGCAAGGAGGTTTAGTGGTCGTTTAATAGCTAAGTAAACCCAATTATAAAAGAATAGTAGATAGCAGTCTGTGCAGACTTTCTGCAGTGCAGCATTCTCAACAGTATATAGTTATAAACATATCTTCCTATATACATGTGTACAGCAAATATAATTCTGCTCTATGATAGTCTTTACAATTAGATTTATTTAGTTATAAATGCGACCATTAGAAAAAACAGCTATATATATATACATATATATATGTATATAGGTTTCTATATAAATGCGGTTATTAGTTTTCACTCTTTTGTGCTTCATTTGTGAACTAATAGTTGAGTAATTGTTTTGCTCAATTTAATGCTCTTTTCTTTCCTTTTTTTGTGTTGTATTCATGTTTAATTGGTGTTTTGGTTTTTTTTTCCCATTTGTGGTTCTTTTCAAAGAATCAAGTGTGTTTCGCGTTGTAAAATAAACTTCTCGGAGTTTCGATTACAGAGGGTATAAATGGAATTTAAAAGCACGGTGTCGGCTTTTTTACATTATTTCTAAGGAGGAAAATCAAAAGAAAGGGTAAGTTTTGAACTTAATTTCTTATTCTTCAAAAAAATTCGTTTTTATTTAAGTGATATTTAAAATTATAGGCGGGACTCTACTTAGTGTCCATCAGAGAGATGTTAAGGGTATATGAAGCACTTTTGTATTGTTCAGAAATTCATTTGTACAAAAACACCATAAAATGTGTAGATTACTGGTTAGGATTGCTAGCCGATTTAGTAATCCGTCCTTCCGTGAATCGTCCTTGCTTACATCGAACAGTCCATTACACCTTTGAAGCTTCGCATAAGAGTCTTTAGTTGTTAGTCAAGTTTAAGAATAGACAACGTTAAAAAATTGAAAGAAAGACTAGAAATGTGAATTTGGGAACATAATTAGTTAAGCTGTCACAGATATTATTGGTGTTTGACGATAGACATAATAAGAAAAAGACTTTTAAAACAAGCAACGCTTTCTTTGAAAACAGAAAAAAGAATTTCATGGCTTACACATAATTCAATTATTGATAAGTACGTTTCATATAAATTGTGTGTAAGTAATCTGTGACATTAGACATCTAAGAAGAATTTTCTTAAAGTCCACTAAGAAAATCGTTCTTTTTGGCTTGTGGACGCTTAAACTATTAATACGACTGCGTTTTGCAAAATGTTTGTGCTTGGGGTAGTTGACACTCAAGCTTTTTTAACTGTAGACAAATGCAGCAAGCAAAATATATTTTCGGCCAGCGTAATTAGTGAAATCGACTCACTCGTATCTGTCTGCTACATGCTTTCGCCAGTAGCAAAACCAGTAAGTTTTCGTTCTTAAATTACGAGCTCGACTTTTAAGTGCTTCTATTTAAAAGTTTTTAGAACTGATCCTATTTGTTTTTTTTAATGATATTCTCGTCAAATGCAAAATCATTATCCACCATCGAACAATGTATCTTCGCTCTGTCTTCGAGTCCAAGATCGCCAATAAATCAATGACAGTAACAGTATCATAAAAATACGGTCCGAGTGAAATATACCTTTTCCCGCGTTTTTCACTTGAATGACCCGCTGCATACTCGGCGTTACCCCGAGAGCCGATAATTTAATTGTACTTTTCATTTTCACAGTATCGGGAATGAATAACACCTTAAACTAAAAGCTCGAATGCTCAACCGTCCATGTCTGACCCAGAGGAGACAAAACGCGAAATAATTCATTAGAATTTTTTATGTAATTATATAAAAAAATTTCGCGAGCGCTTCCGCTTGAGCCAAGAAGTGAAATGGATAAATTTGAAAATCGTTAAAACTAGATTCCAACAAAAACCTTTGTGAAGATCATCTAGGACAGGTATTGGCAACTCAATTTCAAATAACCCATCTTAGTTCCGAAAATAAAGTACAATATATAAAAATAAATTATGGAACATGAACAAGAATGAAAGAATAAAAAAATGGAAATTGACACTAAGAACAACGTTTTAGTTTGATTACTATGGATCTTATAAACAGAAGTGCTTAAGTATATATACGTAAAATATGTAAATATGTATAAAGACTTAGAAAAACCAGAAGATAATCATCTTGTCATGATATCAACATGTTGGGCATCACTTCCTACGAAGTTGCCATTTTTAAAAAAAAATTGCTATTTTGTCCTTTTTCGGTTCAACTTATAAATAAAAGCAAATATTTTCACAAACGAAATTTATATTAAGTAAGAACAGGAGCAGGTTGACTGAAAAGCATTCGGTCCTGCTCTCGCAAATCGTTCTTAGATTTCTTTATTGTACACTATGCCAGTGATTTCTATTTCCACGGCAGTGTGAATATGCCTTTTAAATAGCTCGTCTTCGAAGACTCTAAGCGACTCTGCGTCCTTATCTAAGCAGAAAGTCGCGCGTGCAGATTCTTTTTAGATGCATGCTTCAACTTTCTTTAGGTAAACATTGACGTTGTTCTCAGCTAAAAATATCTGTGACTCATATTTATAGGACGCAGCAGATCGAGTCAGAAAAGACTTCTCAAAATCATTTTCAAAGGTGTTACCATATAAAAATTCATAAGTTTTAATATTGTGTTTAAGTTTATAGTTATTGCTTATACTCAATGAGAATTTACCTTCCGTGGAATCGGCGCTGAACAATTTAGTTGCGCGTAAGAGGATATTTAGTGTTGCTTTACATTGTTCCGTAAATAAATTTAGGTTAAATATTTAACTGTGGTTTATTCGCAAATCGCCAGCAAATGATTTACTGAAAGGAGCTAAAAAAGTATCATAGTGAACACACGCATACTTATGAATAAGATTTTATCCTGTATTTGTTGAGATTTTGCTAAGAAATTTCTTTTTCTGTTGAGATAGCAGGGGAATTCAAATCAAGGACACATGAAATCAAAAGCATAATAAAAAAACATAGAAAATAAAAAAAATTCACGTTTATTTCTATTTATTTTTGACGTCAAGTATTTTTGTCTGTTCTTGATGGCTTTTTTTTTTTGAATATATTTTCCCTCCAATGCTAAAAATTAAGGGCTTATGTATATAAATACTAAATACACTCAGAACAAAAATAATAGCCATAAAACAATTCGAGAAATTGTGACATCTGTTGTAAACATGCTCCCGGGCAGATTTGCGACTATTATTTGCTCTCTAAAAGTCTTATCAATTTTATCTCCTTCTGGTGATAGTGGGTCATATGCAGATATATAGCAGTGTATATATATTCTTTGTGACTTTGTTCGTGGGAGAAAGCGTACCAAATAGTAATTCTCGTGGGCGTCATTCCATTTTATGTAAGACTTTAATTTGCTGGCTTAGCTTTCACAGTCTTTTTAGTTTTGTAAGGGGTCCCTCACAAGCGTTCATTCAAATGTCGCAATATGAGCCCTGAAATTACACCACATGAGATAGTTATTCCGTCTTAGTTTACTGGTTGATGCGATTTTATACGCAAGCATTGCGTAATGGCCAAAATTGGCTAAAGAAAGTTTCTAGCAATGTTGGAAAGTGCCTCTTGTTGTTGAATTCATTGGCCATTTTCATTGTGCCGCCTATTCCTAAAGTAACCTGATGTCTGCTGACTTGAGTTGTTCACAAGATGACCTCCGTTCGGTTATTGTGGTCGACATTCAGATTACAAATCATTTTAAACGATTTTAGACTGCGTCAATTTACCACAACCATTGAAAAATGTACATAAAGCGAATTTTCATTGGAATTTAAAAAAAAAAAAAATTTTTATTAAGTTGTACGATATAGTATAGCAAGTACTTACAATTCGGAAGCGAATACAGAAATTTGTAAAAAAAAGGTGTAAAGATTTCCAATTGGCATCTGTTAGAAGCGAAAAATGGTTTTGACGAGGCGGGTGTATGACATACGCAAATAAAGGGGGAATAATTAAAAACGTATCAAT